TCTTCAGAGCTCTGTGACAGCTTTCTGCCCTATCCTGAAGGGTAGTTTATAGGAACTGGGCTATACTGGATATTAAAATGCAACCTACACCCATTTCTCCGAGGTATATATTTCAGTCGCATCAGATTTGGTAAAGTTGCAATTTTGTTTGTGGGGGTTCAGTAAGATTAATGTTGAGTCACTGGTAATGTACGAGTTCGGTTAGCCGATGTAAAAGTGTCAGTTTTGTCTTTCTTTTTGGTTTAGTGTTTCAGCTCTCGCTACTACCTGCGATTAGGAAACTGAAGCCGTTTTCACACACAAACTTTTCTAGAGAATTGCAAAATGTTCCGCCTGCGTTGAACGATCGGACATTCAGCTGCAAAACCCGTGCGGTATCTAATGGCTCCGATTTGAGAATAGCTCTGGTGAATTTACAGCTGTTGATGGGTGGTCCCGTGTCCTGCAGTCCGCACGGTCAACAGCAATGTTCGGCTGGGGGGTACATTTGAGAAGAAAGAAGAAGAAAAAAATAATAATTTGGACAGCGTCCCTACTTGACCTTCACATTTTCAGCGGTTGTTGTGCGACTTCAGCGTTACTGTTTTTCCAGATTTTCCCGAGAATCGACTATCCACAGATTCCAGCTTTTTAAAATTGACAGTACATTTGTAAAGCTGTACATATAAAAATAAAAAAATTAAATTAAGAAAAAACATTTTTTTAAATGTGCATATGTGAAGATTGGCTTCCGGTCTAGATCTGGCCTGTTGCAAATTTTGATTTGGTCCACATTTGAATTTATGCTTTTTGGCCTGCCTACCTATAGCTGTAACAAATCGGTCTCTACTGCACCTGAAAGCTTACAAACCGGCTTACAAGTTCACGTTAAAGGGCGACAACATTAAGAGAGGTTAGAAATTGAATGCTTACCTACGGAGCATCCATTGGCCGATGACGCGTCGATCTCTCTGGCCCAAATCTTGATGGAGCTGTAGAGGCTTCATCGATCAAAGATCTTTGACTTTTAATGAAATTTCCCACACAGCTTGTCACGGTTAGGCTTGTGAAACCAGCGGTGTGAGACTCGAATATCCAAGAACAAAACTAAAGATTCCTTATTTCACTTTAAGTATTTGATTTTAAATGCCATGTACTTAGCAGGAATAACAAGGCTTGTGAAACAGGTCGCTTCCTTGCACAACTGTATTCAGACTTTATTATTTTGATTGACTATGGTAGGTAAGCAGGTTATTTGATGATGTAAGATGGCCATGATGAGACATGCAATCCACAGTTAATCCAAGCCTGTCAAGAAACACTGTCTGCGACTGTGAAACCGTTTGCTTTCACTACTTAAGTTAGAAGTTAAGGGGATAAATTCTTGTATGTTCTGCATTACGTCGATTCTTCTGCTACAGCATCAGTTGACCCCTGTGACCTTCATGCAAATGGATGTAATTTAAAACGGAGAGCTTTGCAGCTGTGTGCTAAATAGGTTTGAGTCATGATTGTTACTAGCTATGATAGTGTAGCTGGTCTCATTTTTTTACCCGGTGACTCTGTGTGTGTGTGTGTGTGTCATGTAGTCCCGGAGACATCGTCTGTAACAGGAACTACCACAAAGCCGCTTGTGAGTACTTTCGCAGGTGTCTGTGCATCTTGATATTGATATTTTGTCAACGATATAGTGTCACAGCAGTGCAAAATGAAGTTACTAAACTTTACAGGTATGCAGCTGAGCTCCTTGCTGAAGCTGGATGTAGTTCAACTCGAGAATACTGAGGACTTGTGTGGCAAAAGTAGTAAATACCACTGATTACTGGCCCAGAAAGCCAAGGTGTTAACAGAAGTTGCAGCTTGTGTTGCTAAATGGCTTCTTATTGGAGATTTTATCCAATATCCATGCGTGGGGATAAGACTTTAAATGATTATATTATTTGGATCATATTAAAGCTCCACATTTAAATATTTATTCACCAGCTCGGCCTTCAGCGAGCGTGACCGTAACGTTGTCGTCTGCCTGCACCTATGTACATAAAACATCATGCAGCAGAAAACTCGACGGTTTGAAAAATCTTTCATCATATTCAAACAGGTTTCATGACTTCTGCAGCTTCTGAAAGGCCGAAACAATCTAATGGGAGATTTCTCAACAGTTTTAGGCAGTGTTAGTTTATTATAGCTCTCCATTTATAAAAAATATTTTCATTTAAACGTTTTTAAATGAAATTAACTTGTCACTTTTATACCAGGCTAAAGCCTTTTGCGCTTTCTTTTAAGTCGTTAACTTGTGAAGAAGACGAAGAATCACAAATTTTACATAAAAGAGGTCTGTAGCACCTCGAGTACATTTGCACGCAGCGGGGTCTCTGAACATTTTCTCTTCTGCCCTGTGATCTTGTTTTTAAGTAATAAGCTTCTTTTTTTCCCCTAGTTTGGGGAATGACTAACACACGAAGAGGAAAATATGCCATATTTCCAGCCTTAGAGGTTTTTGCATGAAATACATCAGTTTTCAGTGTAGTGGTTTTAGAACTTTCCTTCCACTCGCTTTACATTTCAACCAAAGCTGTAGACGTCTGGTGTTTCTGCATTCGTATTGTGAGAATAAACATAGTTGCACATATAAATCACTGGTTAGGACCCCAAAGATAGAGCGTCACTGCGCTGGTTCTTAAGTGTGCAACTAATACTTTAAAAATAACAACTTTGTGTCAACACTTCAGCTTTTTGTTATAAGAGTCTAATGTAGGTTTGACATTGTTGTCGATGCGGTGTGTTTCTAAATTGTTAATGAAAGGGAAGCTCTCGACTTACACTTTCTGTAGAGAAAATATCTTCTGGTTATTCCGAGACGCTCTCTGCGCATCTTATTATATACTTTAATAAAGGAACGCGTTCCTGTTTTGAAAACCAATCTGTCTCACCTGCTAGTTGTATGCTGAGCAGTTTGGTAGCAGTTTCATTATATACACTGTATGACTTTTTAGGCGATGTTAGATTTTGTCGTAGTAGCACAGAAGATCGACAAGGTTAGTGAGAGGCGCTGTTCAAACGGCATTTTTTTTTAGTGAAATTGTCTGCTTCGTGTTTGTTTCAAGTTCTCTAATCCATTACGTTCCTCTCTTCCCGCTAGTCATCGCTCTTTTTTTTTTTTTTATAAGTGACGGAAGACAGACAGAGATACGACTCGGAGAGAAAACACGAGAAAAAAAAAGTCCAGAAGTGCTCGACTCTTTCCCCCTCCTCTGCTCCCGCAGGTTTTCAGGGTGAATTCAAGAGAAAACTAGAGAAACGTCTCCCCCGTACATCCTCCTCCGCACTCCCTTTTTATCCTTTCACATTCTTTCATTCACACTTTTTTTTTTTAAATCCGGCTGTTTTCTCAAGGTGAATTTATTTATGCAAACACTCGTTTGCATCAGATTCAGACACAACATAAGAAATCTCTGTAATTAAAGGGTCTTTAGAGCAGTTGAGGTTTCTAAGCCCTGAACGTAATACGTTAGTGAGGTGAAGAACAATTTTAAATTGCAATAATAACAGTAATAATAAAGCTTTTAGTTTACTGCCCTTTTTAATATTGAAATACATGATTCCATACAGCTATAATTTTATGTTGGCATGATCATCAAAGTAGTAATGTTAGGTTAGAGATAAAGAGCCTGAGAAACCCACTGTGGTGATTCAAGTTCATCTTTACAAGTAAACTCTGGAGGAGAAGACTCTCCGTGCCACTTACCAGTTCACTGTACTGCATTTGGTCTTTTGGTATTTGAAAGGCGTCAAAGACAAACATTAAAAAAGATAAAAGATTAAAAAAAAATAGGGACAGCAATCTCTCAGCACTGTTAGAGAACAGACAGCGTGTGTCGTATTTAAAATCGAGTGTTTAAAATCTGATGAAATGTTTCACTCTGGCCACCACGAAGCCTTGAAAGAACACCTTGTAATTTATAGAAATAAAATATGGGCATTTAACATATATGCTAATGTTGAGGTTGATCTGTCAGACAGTTGAGTAGTTACTGCATTATCTATTATGCATGTTAATACTGAGGTTTCCAGTGTGTAATCGCACTGTACAAGTGACCTCAGCATTAACATGACCACCTACACACTCAGATACTGATTTTGATTGTTGCTGGATTATTGGATCATTCAATACTTATAACAATTCTTCATTTATTACAAAGTCACCCACCTCTCTAAGGACTGGACTTGAAATATTTCCAAATGTGAGCAGTTGGACAGTAAATGTCCCGGCTAGTGTGGCTATTAATCAAACAGGCATCCCAATTTAACTGTCTAGGATACTTTGATAATGCTCAGTTTGTTCAACTTCGTTTTTGTTGATTTAATATGTAGAAAGAAACTCATGCACCTGAAAAATATGCATGAGTTTAATGTTTACACAGATATTTAAAGTAAGAGAGCACATTGGCACAGGTTATATGTGTACAGCTGGTTCCAGTTTTATGAGCTGTATATAATTGTATATACATGTGACTGCTGACTGTATACACTGTACAGATCTTATATACTTATACTACATGTGTAAATATATATTAGTTCACTACTTTTTTGTCTTGTTGTTTTTAACTGCTCATACTTCCAACCCTTATGTTTTTTATACCAACCACAAAGTATTTTATACCTTAGCACTGCCAGTCAGTTAACCACATAGTATATTTAGATCCTTGGCGGTGATGCAGAAGGCTCATTTTAATTTCACTGTAATATATTTAGGGACTCGAGTCCCTCATGGTCTCGTGTGTGTTAATATGACCGTGTGTGTGTGCGTCTTTGTGGCAAACGTTGCAGCTCACAGAATTGTGGACCTGCCGGTGGTTGTGTCTGAGGTCGTGAGTTGGTGTTTTAAGGTGACTACATGACATAACAAAGGCAGAAAATGACAGATTAGCAGTTAAAGGTGCATACTATGTATGTGTGTGTGTGTGTGTGTGTGGCTGGTGAGTGGGTGGGTAAGTGGGTGGGGCTGCAGTGTTTAGAGGGTTCCCTGAACCTCATCGTTTGTCGCCGTCTTCCTTCCTGTTTCATTCTTTCTCACTTCCTGTCAGCTGACTCAGCCGGAGAATCTTGATCTGGTAAACATGTATGCTACCGCCTCTGCACACGCACTCCTTCTATATCACACGCACACACACACATAAAGTGTGCTGTAGCTAGACAATGCATGTACATCCATATATACTGAACCACACCATGTGTACCGGAAAGAAACACACAAGTACTTTTAGCACTTGTTACATGGTCAGAGTTGGTTACTGAGCCGTAGAAATAGAGCCCATGTAGCAAACATATATATGTATATAACATTAAAAACTGTTATTACTCCAGAGTCTGTGATGAACTGCTTTTGAACACACCTCCCCCCTCAAAAACCCCCCAGCATAAACTAAAAAGCTGACAACAAATGAAGGGATAGAAAGAAAAGAAGAGGCAGAGATTTAAAAAAAAGGAGGCGAAAGAAGAAAGACGGCATGAGAGACAACAAAGTTGGGCGCTCAGTGAGAAAAGAGAAACAAAGAGATAAGGCCAGGCGAAGAGGCGGAAAGAGACACAGAGAGATGGAGGAGGGGGGCAGAGAGATAAAGATAGCTGAAAGGAGGGAGATCCGTCAGCGTTTGTTTCCTCAGGATGTGGTTACCACGACGACGAAAAGGCAGCGAGGCAACATCACTACCCCGCTGGTCCTCTTTGACACCTGCAAGTGTGTGTGAGTGTGAAAGGCAGAGTGTGTGCGCGAGTGCGTGTGTGTACATCTGTTTTCAGTGAGTAAGTAAGTCGGTAAATGAGTGTATCGCTGTGAAAAAGACAGACTATAAGAGCTGTCCATTTTGCTTCAAGTGTGACAGACAGTGTGTGCGTGCATGCGTTAATGTATGTGTGTACTGTCAAAGGATGCACAGTAAGGGGAGAGAGAGAGAGAGGTAGTAGGAAGGACTGTGTGAGAGGTCGAAAATCTGAAAGGGGAAATAATTAGACGAGCAGTCGAGACGGTGGAGAGGCAGAACGAATGATGACAGCAGTAAGAAGAACAATAAGAATCCAAAAAAATGAACAACAGAAGACAAACTTCTGTGAAAAGGAAATTAAGCGCCAAAGACTGGTAAAAAAAAAAAGAAAAGAAAAAAAACCTCAATACGTATACAGTGTATTTGTCGCTTCATCTCATCTTACTTGGTTCTTTCTCTGTCTGACTCACTCAGTGTCCTATTTAGAGCAGAGTGTGGTTTCAAGAAAGAAAGAAGAAAAACCAATGAAGACTTAAAGATTTAATGCAATGTAAATATCTGTATTTGAACAGTATAATGTCAATCACAGTATCAGAAAGAAAAGTGACTGTCATGAAACTGAAGGAGCGTATTAATTTTTCTTTTCTACAGAGCACCGACTGGTAGGAAAATGCCTTTCTCTTCAGTCACTTCTCTGGTTTTCGTGCAGCGTTCGTGCATTTTTCTTTAGACTATGTTGCGGACATTTACTATCTCATTGATGATCTGATTAAATAAGGTGCAAAACTGTGTAGGTGTAAATGCTCAACAGGAATGTGAATGATTAGAAAAATGAAAATGGACATTTAACAGACGTCTCTAATAGTTAAGAACTGCAGCAGTTTGTGTCACGGCGTGAGACTACCGTCATGATGCTTTGTTTTAGAAACAGTCGAGTAAGAAATCATCAGGCCATTTAAAAATAAAGTTAAATAACATGTTGCTAGCTTGATGCTGTGGTTACTAAGTTGATGCATGTGTGAGTCTGTAGGCCTGTTTGAATGACCCTGCTATGTTAGTGCTGCTTGCTTGGTTGTTTTGATTGTAACAAGAACACATGTGGTTTTTAGCTAGCTCAGATTTTGATGTCGGCAAAGATAGAAAGCATAACAATACATGGCACAACTGATCTTTCCTATAGGTTAGTTATCACCACACAAGTCATCTACTTTGCACAGACAGCTAATTGGATACTTGTTTATCACATTTATGTTTTCATACTTAAGCTCTGTTTTTGTTACCTTCAGGCACTCTAGCAAAATCCAGAGGCCCATTATGGAGGATCGTTCATCGTCCACCCAGTCTTTCTCCAACCTCAACCACCACCGCCATCGTCCATCGTTTTCTCTCACCTTTGCCAACTGCCAAGGCTCTGAAGCGGGATATCTGTCATCTCAGCCTGGCCAGGATCCTCTGGAGCAGTACGAGTGTAGAGGGGAAGAATCCACTGCTTCGTTCCTGACATCAAACGCCTCCTCTGTGACGAGCAAGACGAGTACTGGGGGGGACAGAGTGTTCCTAAGCACGAGTGCCAGCAGTTTGGAAGGAGATGCTAGTTTTGGCCACCTTGATGGAGACGGTGCCTTAGGCAGCCATTTTGACGACTCTTGGTATGGCAAAAAGGAAGCTTGGGAGGATAAGGATAGTTGTGAAAGCACCACAGATGGGAAAGGTGATTGTTACAGTAACACAAATGATGTTTTTTACACGATAAACTGTCCGAGTGAGGAAGGAGCGAGGCGTAGAGTCAGAGCACCCTATAATAATTATGCTCACGTAAAGAGTGAGCCTAAAAGTGACACTGTGGTTTACAACAGGGAGGGTAACGTTAGCCACTTTCCTAAACAAACTCCGTCTTGCAACAGAACTGGTACAGTCAGCTTTAATGACAGCAGCGTAGATTATTGTATGATGGACGCAAGAACAAGTGATAATTATTTAGGGAGAGACGACAATTATGGGCCCAGTTGTGGCTCAGGTGAGGTTCAGTTTCAGCCAGCAGAGGCTGAGGGACATTGGCTTAATGTCTCTCCCTCAAGTCAGGGAGAGGCGAGGTGGAGAGCATCAGCGGTCAACCACGCGCTGGCCTCAGGGGCCCTCCCTCTCTTATCGGCATGAACAGCAGGACATACACTCAGAAACTGGATTCCTTCTCTGAGGCCTTTCTCTCCCAGCGAAAGAGAAGATTTCCTGTGATACCCGGTGGAGATCCCTCTGGACAAATCTGGGAATTTGGAGTAGGGAGAGGCGAAACCCCAGGACTGGTCAAGTCAAGGCAAAGCTGTGCTTTTGACTCAGACTCCTATCTGCCTCCCTCTTCCTCTTCTTCTTCTTCCCCTGCTCACCCCTCCTCTCTTCCATCTTTCCCCTCTCCTCCCACATCCTCTCACTTCATGCCTTCTGTTCTTAGCCCTCCTCCCACACCTTTACCTCCTCCACCCCACTCGCCCTCCAAAATGGACTCGCCCAGTGGATACGGGGGCACCGGACATTCAGTCTCTCAGGGAGAATCACTTAGTATGCTCCAGTTTTTTGCCTCCCGCATCTCATCCGCACCTTCTGTCCACTCTTCTGGGATGATATGGAAGCTTCCACTGCTGTCGCACAGCTTTCCACAGTCATCTGGTGACCCCGGCAACATTGAATGCAACGTAAGAGCCCATGGTGACGACTATGGCAACATGACAGGTATCGTATAGCTTTTTTTTTTTTTTTTAATGAAATAATTAATTAAAGAATATATTTCAAGCTTGAAGGATAACGACCACCCGCAGGGTAAGAGGGGGATTTTTATTATAGTTTATTTGACTGTTTGAGAAAAAAGAATCAGGTTTTTTCCCCTGTAGAGGTCAATTTTTAAGATTTTGTTTTATTTCACTTCTTTAACTTTCAGACTAAAATAAAATATCAAATACACATTTAGTTAATAATTTTTTAACATTTGTGCTTTTGGATATTTATGCAAATTAATGCATATTAAATAAGATAGTGTCTAATTTGCATATATAAACATACAGTTTTAGGAAAAAAACTACTCTTAGCTTTGACTTTAAATACTAGTTTTAAACTAATATGAAATTTTACAGCACATATATTTAAAAGAAGCTTTTTTAAATTACATTTTTCAGTAGAACTGACTGAATTTTTAGGAGAATTTACTTTAAATTAATTTTCCACTTGTATTCAAGTCTGTAAGGTTTCTATTTAAAATAAACTGTACACATTCACAGCCTGTTTTATAAAGCATCCTTTTCCCAAGAACTGGCAGGCTGCTGACAGTATTACTGTAGTACTGATTTACTAATCGATAAAAAGATAAACAAAATCCCCTTAGTCAAAAAGTTTGACTCTAATATGACAATGAAATGAACAAACAAAGACCAACTTTTAATCTGGCTTCATATTATGTTCAGACTTGTGTTGTGGAAGGTGGTGTATTTTTAGAAACACAAAGAAAAATTGCCTGAGTCTAAGTAAACAGCGATTTTGTTTTTTTTTTTACCTTCTTCCCATGTTGTGTCCCCTTTAATTACCTTTATTTTCCCCACTTATCAAAAACCACAGGTTAATGCCCACATGTAAATTTACGGGACATGTGGGTTTTTGTAGGTGTGCGTGTTAAGTTTCCCATTTCCCTTATGCAAATCAGGGTTTCACTTTTCACATTTTCACAACCAGAACCATTCGTAATAGATGCATTTCATACATACATTTGAAAACATGCTCGTCAAAAATGAGCAGAGCGAAAATGCGGGTTTTTCTTGAAACTCGATCGTTGTTTTTCTGCGTAACAGAGAGACTTTAGTGTGACTTTCTCACTTTTTTCTCGCTTTTGTCGGTGCACAGATATAATGACTTTTTGATGATTTTGTTTGTGTGTCTGCTTGCCTTGGAATTAGACAGTCAGACAAATCAGTAAATAATAAAGCCCTGGCAGCCTTATTATTTGCGTGCACACTCACTGCACTCCCTTTACTAATTTCTTCCTCCCGATTATGTTTTTCTAGCCGCACGCGACATTCTTCAGTCTCCTGAATCAACCCTGCTTACGCCCTCTTCCCATCGTTTATCCCTTCACCAATCCAGAGCCCTATGCTCCTCCAGTGGTCCATCCCCCAATTCCCCTTTCCATCTTCCCTCTCATCCCCATCATCCGTCTGGGGAACATCACGAGACATCAGAAAAGACGTCTCCTCATGTTCTCACCCAGAAAGTAAGGAATGGACCCGCCAGTCTAAACCAGTCAAATCTGCAGGTATAGCACACTTACCACCACGTGAAATAATTAGAGACGTTTTAAACTTATGCATTGATACTCAGGAAAATTGTTTCGTTCAGTTTGCTGGGTTTCAGACAACAAAAGCAATATCAGCTTTGTCTTCACATATCCAGGACTGTGAGGTCCAGCTTTGGTCTGCATTAAGGCTAATCAGGTTCTCAGGTTGTATGATTGCATAAAAAATAAAACCTCAGATGATGGATAACCTACATTAGAATATATAATTTTATATATGTTGCTAAATCATACTTGAGAACATCTTTGCATGCAAGATTTTACAAGATCAATTTTGAGCCTTGTTATTGTTCTCTATGTTAGAGAGGCACAAAATTACCTATCCACTACAGAAGTAGTGCAGACGCAAACTTCATGTCTCAATGAAGATGTGAAACTAAAAGAAAACACATGTAATAAAAATATAAGCCGTGGCATGCTGCTGTGTTTTAATTGACACATTTTCTCACCGTTACTCTTCCATGGCCCAAACTCAGGAGATCAGTTAGCGAGGAGGCAGGCGAGACTCGTTACAGCTGGAGAGGCGTCGCAGTCAAAGTGGGCGGATGCCTAAATGCTTCTTTGTCAAGAAATTACGTTAGCTCCAACTGCATTACTGCTTCTAAAACCACAGCTTTTTATTTTTAGACATGTTGAGTAGATAAACTGTGTAAACGAGACAGACATGGAAATGGTGATAGGCCTGTTGTTCGCTTTAAGTTAGAGTAGGCTGTTGCTCGGGCACCCTTCATATTTGTCTCGGCGTACATGAGAACACACATGATCATTCAGCATGCATGTTATAAATTTGATGTTGGCCTTTTCTCTGTATTTGTAGCACAGAAGTATCTCTGATCCCGTCAGCTCTTACACTTAGACCACTGTGCAGATGTTTCTAAAGTCTCGCCCCAAAATGTTAGATTATCGTGCCTTAGATCATCAAGGATATCAGTCTCATTTTTTTCCTTTTGTTCTCAAAGCAACAAGACAAGCCAGTCTACACTGGAAAGCCTTTCCCCAGCCTGCTTCGCTCCTGCAGAGGACTGAAGAGGATTTGTTACACTCCTTATCCGCTCCTCAATCCTGCCCGCAGAGGAACTGGGCTCTTCTCCTCCATTTCAGGTCTCCATCACAGAGAGGAAGGAACAGCGTGTGACGAAGAGGGCGAAGAGGAGTGCAGCGTGTTTCGGTAAGTGCTAAATATCAGAAGACTAGTGGCAGCAACACAACAGTTGTTACTGTACTGCTGGCTAGGATAATAGTTATAGAGAATCAGAGCTACAGATGTTTTGTTAATGAGAAAGCATTAACACATCAACGGATTTATATTTAGGTACTTTAAAGTTTATATTGTTGTCTTTTATGTCTGTTTTCATATTTGCGCTCCGTTTGTTTCTCTTTTTGTTCCCCTGCTTCCAGATTTGTCAATGTGGGTCCAGATTTCCAGGCTAATCTTCCTCCATGCTTAGCCGATAGCAAACAGTCAGGGTTGCGGTCACCAGACGAAGAGTCCCTTAAGGAACAGTTACTCTGGAAACCATTGGACAAGAAAGAAGAAACTGGTGACTTACCAGGTCAAGGTAAGCAGCACACAAAAATACAGTCCAGCTCAGGACAGTGACTGCACTTTTAAATTTTGTGGAATTCAAGGACTTTCAACATTTTAGGGAAGCTAAAATGTCAGGGCTGAACTCAAAACAAGTTGATATAAGTGAAATAATAAAGTGTCTCTAAAATGAACTGGTACTGAACTGATTAAAATTTACTGGGTTTATCTGTGCTCAGTGGAGAAGCTGCTGTCCATGTGCAGTTCCAGCTGCCTACCAGGGGGAGGCAGTAACTCCGAGCTGGCTCTGCACTGTCTGCACTCTTGCCAGGGAGACACAATGGTAGGAAGTCTTTCTTCCTTTTCTTTATCCTTTTCTTTTTTCTTTCTTTCTTTCTTGGCAATGTTGCATCCCTCATTTTTTGTTCTCTCCATCTTCTGCCACTCCCTCCTATGCAGGCAACACTGGAGATGCTGTTGTTCTCACAGCCGTCACCAGCAGGAGACTACCATTACTCTGGTAACCTTTGACCTCAGTTTAACTCACCTGCTTAGATGACTCTTTGGATTGACAGTGTCTAGTTACCCAGAAAACAGTCGTTTCTCAGAGAAAAATACCATTTACATGGACTAAGCATACCTACTTGTAACATTAAAAACAATAGTCTTTGGTTTTATGAAAATGATATGTTATTATCATGCTGGCATAAAACTATGGACATTTTAATTGGATCTCCATAAAGTCATGTTGCATGACTTTTTATTCTGTCCACCACTACTCCAACCCAACTTTTTACTTGATGATGATGACGATGATTATTACTATTATTATTAAAAATATTATTGTTTTGCTGTTATGCATATAACAATGTTCTTGTTGGTGAATGCTTGCCTCTGAGGAAAACAAAAATTGTCTTTGCAACAGCAAAGTCCAATAGTGGTATTACTTGTAGGGGTTTGATTGGAGGGGTTAATGTGTCTATAGCCATCTATATCAGAAGATTAAAAGAAGTCACATGATCTGGACATGGGTCTGTGTTCAGATGGGATACAGTTTTTCTAACTAACTATCTAAATAACAAGGTAACAGCAAAAAGCGGTGAAGCAAAACTAGCTAAAACATGTTGTGATCGTAGGCATTTACCTCTTGTGTTTCTCTGAAACACTAAGCAATGTGAGACAGCAAAGGCGGAACAATTCTCACTGTGCGTACAATGAAGGCATTGTAGCAGCTTAGACTTCTCTCTACCTCAATCACATACCACAGCCCCTCCCCCTTGCCTGGTGCTTTTAAATCCACTAAGAACCATGTAAAGTACAGAATGGACATTGTTTTGCATGGTAGTACCCATGTGTTCCTGTAAAAAAAGCTTTAATACTCTAAATGCAGGCAGTACTGTTCACAGAGACAGACTGCAGATTTATTGTTCATCTATTTGTCTTTCACTGTCAAGTTACTACATGTGGTAGCGTTGCTTAATATGTTACTGTGACCCTGTAGTGTTTCCTTTGATTTCTCATGCACCTTTTGTCCCTTCCCACTCTCTTGTTGTGTGTAGGCTGTGATCTTTGGACAGATACTGAAAAGACTCTCTTCAGTGACGCTCTCGGGACTTATGGAAAAGACTTTTCACTCATACAGAAAATGGTAAAACACAACAAATGGTTGTTGTTTGTGCAACACGATGACACACGGCACCATAATCAGCCAGCAGTTTACTGAGATAAAAATAATTATTTGTGGGTCAAATCAGCGCATAGAATGAAAAACAGAACATCAGCACCACAAGTAATCTGCTGGGTGGTTACTTCAGGGTGAAACAGTATGTTCCTCAGATGCAATTTTCTTCTTCTTCTTGCCTAAACCTGTTCAGTTTTTGGTGTCTCACCACGCATATTACTGGACTGCATCGTCTTCCCCAAAGGGCCTTTTGGCACTTCAAGGATCAAATTACTAACCTTGCTGTTCATACACAAAAGGCAGTGGCTTCACCGCCCGAGCCATCAGCGAGCCAAGTACATGTTGCAACTCGATTCACAAGAGCAGCAGTTTGCACACGAAAAGTCTGGACGAAATATCTGAATGTGTCAGGTGATTTTTTGCTTCCTGACACATGTCAGTTCATAGGGCCTTTTTAGCCATATTTACAGCAGAAGCATAGACTGATTTTATATTCCTGTGTCACGGTGTAAGACATATGTTATGTGGCAATAAATCGAGATTGGTATGTGTGTGTGTGTTTCAGGTGAGGACTAAGACAGTGTGTCAATGTGTCGAGTTTTACTACCTGAGCAAAAAGCTGCAGGACAAGCAGAAGAAACAAAAGGAGGAGGACGAGCGACGAGATGTAGAGCTGGATCAGCAGAAAAGTGTAAGAAACATTAAAAGAAGCCACGAGGAACTTAAAATTGCATTTTTTCCCCCTTTTGTCAACATGTTCTGTTTACTTCTTTTGCATTTGAATGCCCCATGTCCAGCTTTCTTTCTCCCTGTTGTTAGTTCCTGTGGTGGTTTGTCTGTTCTCATGATATTATAGATTAGAAGCTAATAGGATACAGGGTATTTGGACTATTCGTGTCGTCTAACGTTAAATGCGTCACATGAATGGAGCTCACAAGTCAGAGAACGCTAACTCTTAAGTGCTCCTGTTACTTTAGGTGACGCCCATGTGTCAGCCAGTGGACAAACAGTTTGCTCTGGAGGGGGCTGTTCCTGTGACCCCATTGGCTAGCTTCTTCCCCTGCAAGTTGTGTGGCAAGTAAGTAGCACCAGTCATAAGAAAGGAAGCTTGCAACAAACTTTTTTCTGTGTTTGGCATCAGGGCAAACAAACAGATGGTTTTCATTGTCAAGCATTCTTTTAAATTCCGTCGTTCCCTCCCCTCCTTGTTTGCTCCAGGATGTTCTACAAAATCAAGTCCCGTAACGCTCACATGAAGATCCATCGCCAGCCTCAGGAGGACTGGACTGACAGGCGGCTGCAGCACCAGCTCCTCACCCAGCGTCTGGCCCTCAGTCGTCCCACCAACCTCATGCCCACCCCAGCTAGTAATCTGCTCCCAGCCCAAGCTCCGGCTCCAGCATTTACCTCCTCTGATTTTGCCGGAACGAGCAGCAACAGTATTGTAGACAGCGTCCACAATTCTGTGACCAATAACAACCCCGGCGTTCCCAGCAACGCTAACGTCCTAGATCCCAGCACGGTTGTATCTTATAGCAGCATTGCTCCTCCAGACTCTCATGGGATCGCCAGTATTGATGGCAGAGACTCAAATCAAAGCGAGCCCACCACTGTCTTACCCTTCCATCAGTCATGGGGCTCCTTCGGACATCCTCCAGACCAAAGTGCCTTCTACTGCAACACAGGGGGTAAGGAGGATGTTGGAGCTGAGACAGTGGGGGGGAAACAGACAACTAACTGGCAGTAGTGGTCAACTATCCCACAAGCATTACCACCACTAAAGTCTGAAATGTATTCAAACTTTGTGTTTAAGTTCAAACTCGTGTTTTATTCAAACTTAAGTACTTTTATGAAACATTATCAAAAGATACATTTTTGCTGTAAATCCTGTACTTAAAGGTGTTACATATTTAATTGTTTGATAAGCATTTGAGTTTGAATAAATGTTTAAATTGAGGATTGTTTTTTAATCATTCTGTATTTGTTTAAATGGAATAAATGAAACCTTTTTTTTAGGTCTAAATTTTTATTCTTTTATTCTACAACGGTTTGTCTTATATTGGTACAGTCGGTTGTTAAGCTCCTTGGCGCCTCTCTCGAGACCACCTTTCTGCTGATTGACTGCTCCACATAAAAGGCAGCAGGTGTGTGAGGCTGCGTGCATGAGACGACCACATTAGTGTTATTTTTCTTTCTGACATTATCCAAAACCGAGACCAGAAAATAATTTATTTAGAGTATTGTCAGGTAATTCATCACGTGTCCTTGAGCCACAGTGACTCTCCCCTTATTTCAAAAATACCTTAGATTTGAAGGTTTAAAATTCAAGCAGGGACTGCAAAGGTAGACGTTAGCGAACACAACCACAGACACACAAACACACACACAGAGCACGTTGAAAGGGTTTGATATAACACCATAATGGGCTAATATTGACCTTGAGAGACCATCTTCTCTCTTACAGCCGTCTGAGTGCACACAATTGTCCCGTTGATGGTTAACTACAGTGACTCTGTGTGCATAAGTGTGTGTTTGTGAGAGTGCATGTTGTTTTTCATAGAAACTGACAGGAAAAGAGAAACTGTGCGAGGGTTAAGGATGATATTAAAACTCCTCCATCCAAGGCTGTCTTTTTGAAAACTGCACAAAAAGACAACTCGGAAAAAGCAGATTTTCATATTTCTTTTCTCTGTCCTCGTGTTTATTTCTCAAGCGACTGGGTCAGCTTTGGTCCACCAGGTGGTTTAGGCTCTATCAGGGTGCTGAGCTTTCTTTGGTCTGCTATCTTAGTGAGAACTATTACCATCAACAGAGCGATTAGTGCGTTTACAAAGGGTCCCTGTTTGTTTGTTCGTGGATATATCATTCTGTCCTTCTAGGTGCACTTGTTTAAAACACTTGGGAGCAGGTACTCAGTGATACTGAATATCTTTGTTTCGTTTTTCATGTATTCGTATTGGAGCATTCCATGCTTGACCCTGTTTTTGCCCCTGATAATAGTTAACAAAGGCCTTTGAAGTGAAACGCTCCCTCCTCCTGACAAAAGTCCAACATCTCTGGCACATTTTTGTCTGCCCTTCTTTTGGCATAACGACGTCTAACTACTTTTAGAGTGTGAGCTGCTTCTGCAAGCAGGGTTCTCCTTTCTGTATCTTTTGCACATATCCTCCTGCAGAGACAAAGCATTATCATCGTATTTCTAATATGATTCATATTAAGCTGGGGAGACAAAATGAGCCTTTCGTTCACTCTTATGTCGAGGAGAAGGGGAAGCAGGAGCAACAGTGTTGGCCTTTTTCAATGAGTAAGAGAAAGTGAGAGTGCACAGGCTTGCAGATAATGGGGAGAGGGGGAGCAGACCAATGAGGAGAGAGAAGTGGGACTGAGGAGAGAATAAACAAGTTTCTGAGCAGCATCCATTCACCTATTCATAGCGAGCAGCCCCCACCACGTCGCAGCCGTTCCAGCTTTCTCTCATGTGGCGTGCTTCTATTTTTCCCAGGCCACAATGGAAACGGTGAATAAAAAACAACTTGTTCAGTCACTTTGCTGTTGTGACAGGCATAGAAATGCCTCAGCACTAAAACTGCACGACGTTTCTCATCATAC